TACTAAGAAGAAGAAAGTGTTTTGAAGTAGATAAGCTTATAAGGGGCAGGGACTAGATAGAAATTCCAGGAAGAAAACAAATTATCTGTAAGCCGAAAAGTGGCAGAAATACACGCAATAGGACTTTTCTAGGAACACACAGATAAATGATGTAAGATGGATATTCTTTGCACTAGTTTCCTCAGTAGACGATAGAAAAAAAATAATGTAGGTTCTTTCTGGTTGATGAGTGTCAGCTCAGTGGTGAGCTTAAATTTTTAGGCTTTCTGGTTGAACTTTTAAGTACACGTATGGATGTATTTCTCTGAGCTGGCATCGTAACTAAATTAGAACACACACAGTGATAGCACACTAGCCAACGTGTAGAAAAAGCGTTCTTCAGCTTCAGGAACATTTGTTCATCCAATAAATTTCTCAGATACCTTCAGAAAGTAATGAAAACAAGTGATACTAACTTGTATTTAACTTGCCTTTTTAGTTACAGTTGTTGAATTTGAGTTCATCGTTGCAGTCACTTCAACTCAGTGGCTCTCTCTTGAGTTAGGGAAATATTTTCACCATCAATCATCCAGGCCATGGTGGCCCCAAAGGTGCTTTTTCAAAAAGGCCACTGGACTTTGTTTTTCTTCATCCAAGAAGCTTCTTCAGCTCTGATTGAACGGTGGATGGAAGGATTTATATTCCTTGCAATCATCTGGTCGTTAGCACGCTCTCTGAGAGTCATTGAGGCCACTTGGAGGTTTAGCTGTGCCCTCAGCGTCACCTGAATAGTGCCAACCTTCTTGGAACACGGTCCTTTTAGCACAGTGGTTCTCAACCTTTTTAATGCCGCGACCCCAACCGGTCGTAAGTCGAGGACTAAACCGGTCGTAAGTTGAGGACTAAACCGGTCGTAAGTCGAGGACTAAACCGGTCGTAAGTCGAGGACTACCCAACCGGTCGTAAGTCGCGGACTTTCCCTGCCCGGAAGCGCCGCGCATGCGTGGTTCCGCCCCCTGCGCCGGCCGAGGCGTAGCTGGCAAGCGGCAGAGACGGAGCAGGCCGACCACCAGCTGGCCCAGCCCAAGGGAGGTAAGGCACCCGCCGGAAAAGGGGAAAAAATGGCGGACAAAAAAATGGCGGACAGCCTTGCTTGGCGACTCACGTGAAATGGTCGATCGACCCCAAATTGGGTCCCGACCCACAGGTTGAGAACCACTGTTTTAGCAGTTCCAAGAAGGTTCCACACCCATTTGCACTATTCAGGTGTCCCTGAGGGCACAGCTAAACTCCCAAGTGGCCTCAACTACCCTTAGAAAGAGTACTGACAACCAGATGACTGCAAGGAATATAAATCCTTCCATTCCCCCACTATTCAGTCAGAACTGAAGAGGCTTCAGAAGGGAAGGGAAACATCTTCAAGAAAAAAAACCCAAGTTCAGTGGCCTTTTGAAAAAGCACCTTTGGGATAGGCTGTAGGGATACTTTGATATGAAACAGATGACTAAGAGCTGCAGGATTTCTCTGAAACCTTGAGGAATTTTGGGGTGTGTGTGTGACCCTTTCCTCAGAATGGGCTAGAATGGGAAATAGGGGATTAAAAAGTAAAATTGGGATCCTGTCCTAAAACAAAGTCAGAATTAACAGGCACACTTTCCTGTACCAGGATGCACTTTAAATACTGAAGTGCATGTATTGCCTTATTTCATTGGTTGGCAAATGGAAGTGTGACTTGATATAACTCGATCATATCATATCATATCAATAGAATCAGTGCAATAGATCAACCTGAAATTATGGAATCAAGTAACGCTTCCTGAAATGAGTATCTAGCCATCTTCCCTTGGTATCAATTTATGCCAGCGAGCTGTGTAGTACACAGATACATCTCAGTGAAAAATCAACTCTGTGGCTAGTGTACGAGTGCAAATTGCTATCTAAACAAGAGTCTGAAACAAACACATGCTCTCTTCATTGGCTGTAAAATGCTGTTAGGGTAGCCTTAAGTAATTGGAATTTATTTATTTAGCGTGTGGCATACAATGTCAGGGAAATCTACAAACGCTCGACGCAACGCAGCCTACACTGTTAGTTCATTCTGTTCAGCACTTGTGTGCTTGGTGCATCGCAGGGGGTGAACTAGCTTTAAACCAATTAGCAGCATTTGCGTTGCTGGCTATTCCGGGCTCCTCTACCGGTCTCCCCTCGCCTTGTGTTGCGTTGCTTCGTGTCCAGCGTCCCCTTCGCCAGATCCAGCAGCATCTTTCCCTCTCTGCAGCTAGTTTTTTTTTGCCCACCAAAATGCTACCCATTTATCTCCTCGCAGTATTGCATGCTTTCAAGCTGCTGGATAGGCAGGATTCGGGGAGCGGCGAGCAGCAGGAGCTCACCCTGTCTCATGGCGCCGGACTCGAACCGCTGGAGTGCAGATCATTTCTGGCTGGCAGTCCCGGTATCCTTAAGCCGCTGCGCCACCGCATCCCCTATGTGGTTGGGAATATGCCAACCACATTTCAAATTAAAAGATTTAGTAGGAGAAACGACCTACTACCAAGTAGTCAAAATATATACAGTACAAGGAAAAAGGAGAAATCCGAAGGTAATATCCACAGTGAAGAAAGGGAAATAATAATAATATTATTTATTGTTGGATGTAGCCCTTTTAAAGTGCAAAGTGCTTTACAGTTGTTAGCTTGAATTCCCTTGCAAAGAACCCTGGGGGTGACAGACTCCTCCATACAAGGAGTTTGAGGAATGTGAGACTATTCTCCTTGTGGAACATCAACCAAGCAATGGATGAAGACACTAAACTGGGGATTTAATAAGGGATGTACAAGTCTATTTTATAGATTCCCTAAAATGTTTGTGTTACATCCTTGATTTCTCCTACAAGAGGAAAAAAAATAACCCAATCCATGGTCACTTTGTCTTCATCTATCAGTTCCTTTCAAGTTACATTTACATGTGTGTGTTTTGCCCTGTGTCTCTTCTTAGGGGTCATTGCATTAATTTTCCATTCTCTTTTACTAATGTCCTATCTGTTTCTCTGTTTTGTTTTCTCCACTTGCTTTTAAGGCTGTACTAGGTATTAACTGTTTTTTTTCCCCTGCTGAAAAAAAAACCCCATGGTTTACTTGCTTATAGGGATTATGTTGTTCTTGGAGAACGTATTTTTTTAAAAATGTTACATTTTAGTTGCTTGTCTGGTTTTGGCTTATCTCTTTTTTTTTAATGCTTGATTAGAACAAGAAGATGAAGAAACCAGCACCGGATCACACCTAAAACTTATAGTAGATGCTTTCCTTCAACAGCTCCCAAATTGTGTAAATAGAGACCTAATAGACAAGGTAAAATGGCTATCTAATATTTCTTTTTTCTTTTTCTTTTAAATTTTATTTGATCCAAATACAAATAATACGAACATAACACATGTAAATCTAAATAAAAAAACAGTATTAAAAAATACAAATACTACAGTGCACCCACACCCCTGGAGACCATTTTTATTACCTATATTTCTTCTCATATAACAACTAACTATACACAATATATTTCAGTTGTGCCTTTATCCCCTCCAAAACAGCATGTATTCTTGAGCAGGTTTATTCCCTTTGCCTTCCACCAAGTCTGTTTTTATAAAATCATCCCATATTTCATTATAATTATTTACTTTAATCATCCCTTTTTTAAATTTAAATTTCTGTTGTTCATTTATCATTTATTGGCATATTCCATATTTCACTATACCACTCATTTTTCTGAATATCCCAATTCCGTCTCTAGTATTTACCATCACTAATCTAGCTGCCATTATCAAATTTACAATCAATTTCCTTTTTTGCTTCATTTATATCTTGTTTTTCCACCAGTAACAGTAAAATATCTAATATTTCTAACTGCTATTTCTATGCAACAAAATTTTCTTGATGTAGGTAGTCCTTGACGTACAACCAGAATTGAGGCCAACGTTTCTGTGGCTAAGTGAGACACCGGTTAAATGAATTTTGCCCCCATTTTACGACTTTTCTTGCCATAGTTGTTAAGTGAATCACTGTGCTTATTAAATTAGCAACACGGTCGTTAAGCGAATCCGGCTCCCCCCCGTTGACTTTGCTTGTCAGAAGGTTGCAAAAGGGGATCACATGACCCCCCCGGGACGCTGCGACCAGTGTCATAAATGTGAGTCAGTTGCCATGGGTCTGAATTTTGATCACGTGACCCTGGGGTGGCTGCAAGGGTCTCGTGTGAAAAACACTCATAAAGTCACTTTTTCCAGTGCCGTCGTAACTTTGAACGGTCACTAAATGAACTGCTGTAAGTGGAGGACTAGCTGCATTGCACTCTGACCACTTTGATCTCCCCCAAAGGAAACTTGGAGACTTGTTAAAGCTGCTCTAACAATGAATTTAAGTGGGTTTTAAGATCTACGAATGTGAAACTCGGGTGGAGAAAAAGCATCTAAAATTTGTTTGGTTTACTAACAGCTGAAAAAAATATATGATTCTGTAGCTCAGTGGTTCTCAACCTTTTTAATGCCGCGACCCCAACCGGTCGTAAGTCGAGGACTAAACCGGTCGTAAGTCGAGGACTAAACCGGTCGTAAGTCGAGGACTAAACCGGTCGTAGGTCGAGGGCTACCCAACCAGTCGTAAGTCGAGGACTTTCCCTGCTCGGGAGTGCCGCGCATGCATGGTTGCGCCCCTTGCACCGGCTGAGGCGTAGCTGGCAAGCGGCAGAGACGGAGCAGGCCGACCACCAGCTGGCCCAGCCCAAGGGAGGTAAGGCACCCGCCGGAAAAGGGGGGAAAAATGGCAGACAAAAAAAATGGCGGACAAAAAAAATGGCGGACAGCCTTGCTTGGCGACCCCCATGAAATGGTCGATCGACCCCAAATGGGGTCCTGACCCACAGGTTGAGAACCACTGCTGTAGCTGCTCTCAGCCAGAAATCACTTGTTCTTCTCCAACACATAATTGGAATTGGTAGCAATGATCAGAAACTGAAATTTATTATTAGTTTGCTTGGCTCCTTGCTTCAAATTTCGGATTTCAAGCCTTCTCTTCCTTCCGCAGGCAGCGATGGATTTTTGCATGAATATGAACACCAAGGCTAACAGAAGGAAGTTAGTCCGTGCCCTTTTCATAGTTCCTCGGCAGAGGTAAGCATCGACGTAAATGTTGCCTTTAAAGTTGGGTCTGAGATCTGAAGAGACGTGTGGGAAGTCGCATTTGGCCTAGAACAGCAATTTTTTCCCCATCAGCTTCCTTCAGATTTTAAAATCCGTTAATAGGCAAAAATGGGAGATTTATTTATTTACTTCCTACACCACCCCTCTCACCTACGTGACTCTGGATGGTTTACAACCTCATCCCAAAACCATACAAATACACGATATAAAAGCATATATTTTTTTAAAAAAATGTTTTGTTTTGGGATTGTTGTTTGCGACAGACTCGTCTAAAACTTTGTTACAGATAAATTTGAAACAGCCATTGGATTGTTCAGAATAGATCTTGGAATATTGAAACTTAGTTGCTGAGTATTTTATTAAAACGAGGGTGATCAATAACATAAGCCAAATGCATATAAATAGCATATTGGTATGTTCTAAGCCAGAGGTCCCCAACCTTTTGTTACAATTAATACATAATATATGTAATAACAGTTTGGTACTTATGTTGCAAATATCTAAAAATTAGATTAACAATCAGGAACCCCTAAATCAGGGGTAGGCAACCTTGGCTCTTTTATGACTCGTGGACTTCAACTCCCAGAATTCCTGGGCCAGCCATGCTGAGGGGAAAGGGAGAGGTCTCCAAGCTGAGCCATGCTGGCTCAGGAATTCTGGGAGTTGAAGTCCACGAGTCATAAAAGAGCCAAGGTTGTCTATCCCTGCCCTAAATGTTATTTGAAATAGTACTTTACTGATGTGTTATCCTTTATTTGCAGGCTAGATTTGCTGCCTTTTTATGCCCGACTGGTTGGGACATTGCACCCCTGTATGTCCGACGTAGCAGAAGATCTCTGTTCCATGCTGAAGGGGGACTTCAGATTTCATGTATGTTTCCATTGGTTTTCCATAAATTCAAGTTGCCCCCATTTCAAAATGTCTGGCACCATAACAAGGAAACTCGCAGTACAAGGCCAGTGCTGTAACAGATTTTTTTTTTTTAAACATTTCATAAATTAGAATGCAAAATAGAATGCCAACACAGTGCTGGGCTGCATTAACAGACGGATAGAATCAAGATCACATGAAGTATTAATACCACTTTACAAGGCCTTGGTAAGGCCACACTTGGAATACTGCATCCAGTTTTGGTCACCACGATGTAAAAAAGATGTTGAGACTCTAGAAAGAGTACAGAGAAGAGCAACAAAGATGATTAGGGGACTGGAGGTTAAAACATATAAGGAACGGTTGCTGGAATTGGGTATGTCTAGTTTAACGAAGAGAAGGACGAGGGGGGACATGATAGCAGTGTTCCAATATCTCAGGGGCTGCCCCAAAGAAGAGGGAGTCAAGCTATTCTCCAAAGCGCCTGAAGGCAGGACAAGAAGCAACGGATGGAAACTCATCAAAGGAGAGAAGCAACCTAGAACTAAGGAGAAACTTCCTGACAATTAGAACAATTAACCAGTGGAACAACCTGCCTCCAGAAGCGGTGAATGCTCCAACACTGGAAGTTTTTAAGAAGAGACTGGACAGCCATTTGTCTGAAATGGTGTAGGGTTTCCTGCCTGACCAGGGGGTTGGACTAGATGACCTCCAAGGTCCCTTCCAACTTTTATTATTATTATTATTATTATTATTATTATTATTATTATTATTATTATTATTATTATTATTATTATTATTATTATTATTATTATTATTATTATTATATTATTGCATAATCTTAAAGTTTGACCACGCAGGTATTCACAAACAGACGTATTTCTAAATCTTGGACGTGAAAGGACTTGTTTGAAAATACTGATTTTTCAGAGAATTCCAAACCTTGCTAGCCACCCCACAGACTGCTACATGGCACCCTTTCTTAAATTGCAGACTTTGAATAAACGAGGAGAACAGGCAATTGAAAAACTGCAAAAGATTTCTTTGGGTTTGTCCTAAGCAGAACTGGCAACTGGTTTAAATGTTAGATGCTTGCCTTTTCAGCATGTTCACTGAGCTCAGCCATAAAAGACTCAGTACAGTAACTGCTTTTTAAATTTGGAATCTTAAGTACTTTCTTGTATGGTACCCATAAATGAAAAGCCAAAAATGGAGGAAGGGGAAGCCAACTACTGTTTCAAAACATAATCATCAGTTGACTTGTGAATTCCTTTTCTTTGTGTTTTAAATCAGAAGGAGAATTGTACTACAAACAACTTCGATAAATTAAATTCCATTAATTAAAATCGGAGCTGCCATATATTATGTACTTTAAAAACATTTATTAATTACAAACTTATATAGCAATTAAATAGATTATACTCACTATCAAGGAAATATTAGAAGCAGAAAAAAAATCAGTTTTAATCTCAGGTTTTCACTTACGTAATGAATTTTGTAGTTAAACTTTTGAGTTCCTTTTTCTAAAGACAAAGTGTTAGAATCCAAGGGCTGTGTTATACACGCCTGGTTTTAAACTGCAGCTCAATACGTCACATTTAAATTATTGTTTCTGTGTCTATTTTAATGTGTATATTCTCTGGAACAAT